GCTTAACTGCCTAACACTAGACAAATTACTTTGTATCTAATTATTAACTTAGCCTAATCATAGTTCAATAATTCGGCAGATTTGTCTGGCTTTAATCAAAAATCAGGTTTGTTGAGTTGTTGTTTATATGTAAAAATAATTAATTAGATATTGTAATAATAGAGATTTTTCCCACTAAATACAAGATGATGTCAAAAATAAGAAATTAAGAATGGTTTTATAGTGTTATATTGAAAAGCAGCACCAGTAATGCATAAGATTGTTCAGAATATTTCTTAATACTGTATTGATTAATTGTTAATTCTAACACAAAACAAAATATATATGAGAATTGATTCTTTTAGTAATATGATAAAAGTTTGAAAGTCTGTTAATTATACTTTTGAACTTTAAATGTAAAATTTAACCATAACACATAATATTTAAACATAAAATTTTATTATCTGAATCAGAAACAACATACTTATCTAGAAATTTTAAACAGGCTATATAATCTAACACAAAATGTCTTCTTTTCAGAAATAAAACTTAAAAGCCATTCAAGTACATTCAAGGGTGTTAAGAAAAGTATTCAGTATTTATATTGTAGAGTAAAAAACCTTAGTAAGCATAAGTAATAAACTCAAGTATATGAGATAAATAATTTGACAAAGACCTGGAATTTTTATGAGTGCAGCTCAAAAAGATAAGATGTCAAGTATAAATGGAAATGGAGGACATGTGTAATACTTGTGAATATCAAGGTAAAGATTTAGCAAGATTATCCCTCTTTTCACATTACATGCAACATGTAGAAGACTAAGTCAATCATGATACTAACATTAAAAAATTCTTAATATTTCAGAAACAGTTGAGTTTTGTTTTATCTACATTTACTAAAATTTTTAGTCAGTATGATGATACTATCTACCCCTGTAAATCCTGAATGCATTTTTAATATCCTGTATATCAATCTTCAGAAGTTAAACAGAAACTAAGAAAAATGAAAGTTAACTTATCTACAACACATTTTTTTAATTGAAAAATAAATTTAAATGCATGGTTGAAGATATTAGTAAGAATTAATTAAAATTCTTGAAAATGGGTTCTTTATAATATAATCTTTAATTAAACTGTCAGAAACATCAAATATGGCTTTATTGAAATTTTACCTGATTTAGAGGAATGCATTTGTAATTTTTTGATAATTTAAAATAATTTAATTAAATTTCTAAAAATCTAGTCAGATAAGTTAGTCTGCTGTTGAAAATTAACTTTAAACTATTTGTCATTTAAAAAAATAATAATAATTGGACATACTTAATCTAGAATACAATGTGTTCACAAAGTTTGGAAACAGATAAGTATACATAATAAATGGTATATTGATATTATGTGACAACACATATGTTTAATGTGTTGTACATTTTATTCATTTAGGAGTACATAGTTTAATATGCTGTGCAAAACTATAGTGAATGCAGTGCATTAACAATGATAGATAATAATAATTTATTCATATTTCAAGATTTTAAGGCCTCCCTGTAGTTTAAAATATTGAGAAATAGAAATATACCTACTTGTAGTATCATATTCTTGAAATAATAAAATAATTTAACTAAAAACTAATGTGATAAAAATAATTTATAATTTTTCATATATTAATTTTGCATATCAACTCTAATTTTAATCCAAATCAACTCTAATTTTATCACAAGTTTTACAATATAGTAAATCTTGTAAATGGAAAATGCTTTATCATCATCATCTGATATTTATCATTCATTTTCATAATCTTTAAAAGTTTTGAAACATTACATAGCCTATTCCTGTTATTGTTATTATATACCAGTCATTATATTGTACTGTAGGTTATTAGATTCCAAAAATAAAATAGTTGTTCAACTTAATACTCAATGATAAGATGACCTGTTTGAATGACCACTTTGCAATTTATGAATCAAAACTTTGCATACTTGTACTAATAATAGCTAAATTATCTCTTCAATGATTGTTGTTTTATTAAGTTGAGTTTTTCTAATGATACAAAGTTGTGTATTGAAAGATAGACAATAGAGAATATGATATATATACATGTCCTTAGAGTATCACATGTAAATTGAATGTGAAATTGACCTGGAAAATATTTATTACTTTTGTATTGTGACTAAATTTATAAAATATACTTACAAATAAAAACTTTGAAAATCTTTCTATTGGCACTGATGTATATTTGCATATTTTCTATTGTACATTTAATCACTATGATAGAATACAAATTGCTTCTTGAAGAAAATATTCAATTTTTTATAATTTTTGAGATGATGATAATTATAAAAAATATATAAAATCATTCTAAATGTGAAAAATTTCTATATTTTAAATTATTTTCTGTAGCTGTAGTAATGATTATATCTTCTAATTGTCAGTAAAGTGTTATGAAATAGCAACCTTGATAGATGAAACTGATAAGTTTTTTGCTTCTGTCATTCCACAATAATATTTAAGAAATTCTTTAATTGACAATAGAGATTTTTTTCATANATTAACAATTATTTTTGTTTAAATATGCTTAAATATTTAAACAAAAATTCTTGAATGTCATTTACAGTATATTATGTGAATGTCAATTAATGCAGTTTTTATTAATTTGATTTTGATTCAATTGTGGCATGTACTGAAAAATGGAAATAGTATCTTTTCTGCATGCACATCAAAATCTAATTTAAATACTAACATTATTGATGATTCCTGGTGTGATATCTAATGACATCAGATAATCTTAGTGTCACTAACTTCTGAATTAGTAGCCCTTTCATTGATTGGTCAGGCCATTCATTTTCTTTAACAAAGGAAGTATAGGGAGTTGACCATCTGTGGCTGGCTCTTGCAGAGTAGCATGTTCGGCAACCAAGTTAACAGATAGCAACTGGGTTAAATATGAGCTCAAAATTTCATTTGTGAACCAAATTGTTTGAAAAGCAAGATGTTTGAAACCCAAGGTTTGACTGTATGCCAAACAAAGATTACCTATTTATACTGTTTTCCCCCCTAACCAATCACAGCAAGAAATTTAAAATTTTGAGGAGGATTAATTTTCAAATTCAAAATTGTTTACAATTGAAATCTGTCAGCCAATCAAAAGCATAATTTCAATTTCTGAACATTAAATGGACAGGAATCCAAGGAGATCAGTTAGATATCATTTAACTATAAATACAGGAATCAAACTTTAAATTTAAAATTTAACTTAAAAATGAAATTCATTGATAATTTTAATTTCAAAGTTCATTAGCATTGAGCTGTTAAATTAACTAACTTCACAAATTTCACTAATTTCCAATATCAGTAATATCAAATGTCAATAACAATATTAGCCAGTACTCATTTTTCCAATTTCAATATTGGAAAATATCCAATAACATCTGATACCACACCATAAGTAGGTATTTAAATATCAAAATAAAATTAATTAAAAATTTAATTTTAATAACACTAGATTTATAAATAGAAAACACACAATATACCCAATTTAAGTGCAAAAAAGAGGAAAAGTATCAAAAATTGCTGTGGCAAAAAATGGGAGAAAAGAAAAAACTAATATCTCTCCAATCAAACTTAATAAAGAACCATTCTGTGATACTTTGAAACAGTCCCCTGCACAAATAACAAAAAGAAGTGCGCCTCATATTTTCCAACTTTAATTATTACTATATGAAATATGCAATGCTAATATACATACAGTTGAGCATCGTTTATCCGAAAGTCAGTTATCCGAAAGAATTCCAGTCGGCAAAATTTAAATTTTCACCAGTGCTGTGGTGCTGCAATCTTTGGCTATATCTTGGGCTACTCCAATATTTTTTTTTTGTTGGTGTGTGTGTTTTAGCTGGTAGCACTGGCACTTTTGTGTGGTGTTTTTCTGAGGACTGTGTCATGCCGAATCAAATGTTTTTGATACTAGATCAACTTCTAAAGTATATTTTTTTGGTTTTTATATTTTTCAATATATTTATTTTGTTTGTACAAAATAAAAAAAATAATTTTGAACGATACAATAGCCACAATTATTATTTTAAAAAGTTTTCGTTAGGCTTAATATTGACGAAAATTCAATGCGAAGTGACACGCAACGGAGAAAAATTTCAACATGGGATTGGTTAATATATTTTTTCGTACATAATCGGTTATCCGAAAAATAAATTATCCGAGCAACCCCTATCCCCAATTGTTTCAGATAAACGACACTCTACTGTATTTTCCAAATACCTTAAAAGACTACATTAACCAAATATCCATGGATAACTAGTTTTTCTTCTTACATTCATCATATAGTGTTATACTTTTGTTTTGTTTTATTTATTCTCTGTATTACTCCAATTATTTACAATTTAAAATCAAATGCAAGTTATTTTTGTAATAATTATGTCTGATATAAAAAAATACTGATACTAAATATACAAATAGAAAAATACATCAGCATGGCAAGTGGAAGTTGTGGGTTTGAGTCTTGCTCCAGATCAATCTTTTCTTCCAGAATAGTCTAAATTAATTCAACTTGAATTATTAAATTTAGTACAACACTGCAATTTTATTGCCTACCTTATCCATATTACACAATATGTGTATCTGTGCCAAGTTATTTATCCAAGTTATAAAGTTAAAGCCTAATAATGAACCTGGTATTACCAAAACTAAGTCAGAATTATTACCATAATTCAGACTTAGTTTTCTACATGAAAATACTGAGATTGAATGAAGCAAAAAAGAACTATATCTTAAGTTATAAATTTAATAAAACTGCTTTGTGTACAGGGCTGTGGAGTCGTGTAAAAATCTACTGACTCCAACTCTGACTTTTCCAACTCAGTAAAGTGAGTCGATTCACTAACAAAACACAAACAGATACACACACCAAACTGAAACCTNATTATATATACATAATCAACAGCTTATATCTGCAAATTAAACTTACTTTATTCTAAAAAATTAAATTAGCAATAAAATTAAAGCATTTTTACCAATCTTCTTTTTCTGTTGCCTATCGACAGTGTCGCCATGAACTTCTTTCCTTTTCTCTACTGCATCAATGGAAAATTTTTTGAATTTATGTATCAATTTTAATAAATGTTACTAAATAATATTACTACATTAAATAAGTTGTTATAGTTACTACACTTACAACGTTTGCTTTGCCTTTCAACTTCTGCTTTGAGTTTTTGATATTTTTCAGTTCGATATACCATCAGCCATGTCAAACCTTAAAAATATTTTAGTTAAAATGAAAATAAATATTTTAATGAGAGTTTATTATGATTTTTAAATTAAAAATATTGTGAACATTTCTAAGATAATTTTCAATTTTATCTCTAACACAAAAATTTTTGAAAAATATGTATTACATTTTTCGGTAACAAACTAAACAGAAGAATAGCTGTTATAAGGTTAATAAGTTGTCACATTTTTATTTGCAGAACTAGCTTACCCGTCGCGCATTGCTGCGATCTCAGAAGAAAGGAAATTCAAGCAAACTCGTTATGATAAAATTCAATTTACATTTTATTATTTTTATTGAAACTTATTATTATTATTCATTTTCATCGGGAAAACATTTCAAAGTGTCGTTNAACATCGGAACACATTTTTGTACATCGCGGTTTACCGATGCGCTGTTTGATACATATTAGAATGTACTACCTAACGTTAACACGCTTATAATTAAACTTTTTAAAAAGCAGGTAAATTTATCAAACAAAAATGAATGAAATTGTGAGAGCCCGGACTTGACAAAAAATGTTTTTTCTTTCGAAAAAAAATCATAGAGGATATAATTTTAACTTTTCTCACGGGCTTGCTTCCTTATTTAAGGTGACACATCTTCCGAATGTGTCACTCGGAACTTCAACCGAAATTCATCTATTAGCCACGACCTATAACATTACCTAAAAAGGACGACAGAAAAAACAAGAAGCCCCCGAATAAAAGGGGGATCGATGACGATCGTGATCCATCGTCATCGAAAGTTCGCTCGCGCCGGAGTTGCACTAGCGCTGGGATACCTTACCGACACCGAAGATTCCTACCTAAGTGACTTTCCTCCCTCCGACGACCCCCCCTTCGCCTGAATAGTCCGAATATCAAGATATCCATACCTTGCCAAATATACTAAGACTTTTCAGTCAGAGCCATTCATCGAAACTTCCGGAACATCAACTCGTCGTGTCGTCAATTCAAGTCCGCAACCCGATCGGCAACAAAGCGCATCATCAAATCCTCTACAAGATACGAGTATTTATCCGCCCGCGAATTTATGTAAACTCTCTCTCTCTCAAGACTTGGACTCGCGAAGATAATTAATATAATATACTAAGCCTTTAATATAATATACTAGCCTTATAAAATATATATAGAGATAGCTCTAACGTTCAACTGTAAGCAGCCTATGTTTAGCCTAATTGTAAATAGCTCATAGTTAATTAATAAACGGATATTTGTTATTGTTAAAATTGTGTTTGGTGCACTTCCTTCTAAACGCACCACATCTCGTGTCGTCTCCATCCCGAATCCAAGCGCCTACAGACGCGACCGCTCACGCGTAAATCACACAAAAAGGTTTCTATGTCTGCAAAAGACACTGTGGTGTCAGTCCTGACGAACTAGTCATCGCAAACGCGGTGTCGACCCTTCGGTCCCGTAGTGCCAAAGCATACCCTTTGCGCATTGTCACAAAATTAGTAAAAAAATTGAAATAAATTTAAATTTCGTTATCTTTTGAAACAACAAAATCAATTTCTACAGTTGTTGCAAAGAAAAAAAAAAGAATTGCAATTAATTAAAAAAATTGTAATTAGGATTTTAAAAATGTAAACAAAACTAAATAAATAAAAATAATTTAAAATAATAATTAAAACTCTGGCTGAATTATTTTTAGTTTTTGTTTAAAACTAAAAACAAAATCAAATCAATTGAAAATTAAAACAATGTTTTTAAAAACCATTTAAAAGTTGTTTTGAAATTTTCAAATTGTAAATCAAATTTATTTCAAAATTTACATTATTTTTGTGTGCAGTGGTGACAATGTTTCTCCTTTAATATGTTTTAATATCATATATGCAGATTTAACAATTGTATTTTTATTTATATGTTGGATTCTTTTTAAGGTTATGATTTTTTAAATGCTTTAGCTTATGTTTTACTGCTTTTATGTTTCCATTATCTTGTCACACATTATAACATGATTTTGGTTCGTTCTGTTACTGATAGACTCCTCAATGTTTATAAAGTTATTAATAACTTTAGCACATGTATAGTCTTGGATCGAGTCCTCATATGACAATACGAGGACTCAATCCAAGACTAGAACAATTACACCTTACATCCCAAGTCTGCATTGGCAAATTCATACATCACTAGACTCAATGGATTTTATTGTGGAACCCCAAATTTTTATTGGCAGATCCCTATGGTTCCGCAGAACACAAGTTGGAAACCCCTGTTTTAAATCAACATGTAGATGACGTAGGGTTGGGATTTTGCTTGCACAGTACAAAACTATAAATATGTCACTAAATTACTGATAAATCAAAATCATCCACAGAATTGTCTACAGAGTCCTTGGCCTCTTTTTCTACGTGTAAGGAAAGGCTTTGCTTCTTTAAGAATAGCAGTTACTGTGGAACAACTGACATTAGTAGCCATGGCTGTCCACTTTCTTACCTAATTTACAGCAATAATGGTTATCCTTTCTCTTTTTCCTTAGCAAAATATTGCTGCACATTATAAATCTGGATCTGACTTCATAATGAATTTCCTTCTATTCCAATACCAGAATGTGAAACTTTCATAACACTGTTTATAATGGCAGTGACATGTATAACAAATGACAAAAATACCAGAACTAACTTGCCACAACTAAGTGATCAATGGCTGATGCTCATTAGTTAATATCCAAGTTGATTCTTTCATATACAGACTGTAAGGTTTCCCTTTACCAGAATATTGGAAGGTATAAATGAACACTATTAATAACACTAGTATTTATAGCATTAATTAATTAACAAAGACTTATCATTTTACATTATTTACACACACACACATACATACAAGAAACACATCAGTCAAACACAAGGTGTTTAACCAGCAGAAAAGAGGGTAAGAGAAAGAGGAGGGGAAGGAGGAGGGAGAGGAGAAGGTCAGTAGAGAAAGGTAGGATCTCTGAACAGCATACATATGGCTACAGTACCCTCTATGTTTGATGTTGGTATGCAATTTTTAGGCTGCAAGGCTATAGTCCCCTGAAGGGTCTAAAAGAAAACATGAGTGTAGTGAACACCAATAATTGAGTGCCACCACGAATAGCTAAGTGTAGAAGTTAGTGCCAAGTGGCTGTTTGTAGAAAGACTTATATCTACTTAATACTAATAAAACTGAATGTGATCGTGAATCTTAATACTACTTAACAGGTAGACAGGCAGCGCGAAAAGCAAACGAACACAATGATAAACTAGAAGAGACGAACAGACCAACAGAAACAAACGAACAAGACCCCAAATGTTTTATTTATTTATTTATTTATTTTTATTTTTTTTAAACGTTAACTTACTAACTAAACTAACCTACCATAACCTAGGATGAACCTAACCAAATGACTAAAGCTAACAAATCCTAAGCTAATTTAACCTAACCTATCATAACCTAACTGGAAACCAAACTAAGAGTCCCTAATCTAACTTACAACTAGGACTAACTGAATTTAGACTGAAAAAGAAGACAAAAAATAAGAATCAAAATACAGTAATACCTCGACTTATGCTACCCCAACTTATGTGAACTCAGAGTTACGCGATTTTCAAATCTCGTCGATTCGTCTTTTGTGTGAGCGCCACGCAACTCTTGATTACTCACTCCCCCACACTATTGTTCAGCTTACATGTTCAGACGTGTCGCACGGAATCGTCACATACCTACAATTTATTTTGTGTTATTTATTTCTGTGTTTGTTATATCTATAGAGACTTGAGAGACTCTATGTGGTGATTTCTTGTAACCGTGAACGAATCAAAAGACGAGATAAGATTAACGAGAACATTTATTAGCTTACACATGTCTGACTTGGATTTTACACAAATTGCAAAATTATACCCCGACTTACGCGAATTCGACTTAAGCGGTTATCGCTCAGTCCCACCTATTGCATAAGTTCGGGATATCACTGTATAAAGTTGAAAGGCAGCTATATACCAACAGTTGAAACAAAGCAAGGGAAAGCTAACTGCCATCCATGTCCCCCAGAGTACGTGCTCTCAAGAGCCCCACTAAGGGATATGAATGTGAGTAGTTGATGAAACATTGTACGCATGTGAATGAGTTGGTGCAGGTTGCAAGGCCAGTTGTACCCTTTAAGAATAGCAGCTCTCATTAAAGGCAGAATAGAGTTATAGGCTATGTTCCAGAGACCAAATCCAGACCTGAATCCAAGGACAGTCTTAAGTGATAGGTATGACTATGTTATTTTGTGTTGCATAAACACCTGAACTCCTGTTGCTAAGATAGGACTGAAGAAGTTTGTAAAGATTTTGAGGGCAGTGATGAGCATGTAATGTGTGCAGGACAAAAGGCCACTAGACGTGATCAAAGATGCCTCTAAAGTCAATAGTGATAATTGCAGTATGCTGATTGTTTTGTTTAGCCTGCTGGATGTAGTTAACAACCTGATGGATGGCATCTACTGCACCTTTGTTTTTAGAGAAGCTGAACTGATTCTGATGCAGGGCTCTATGCTTGTGTAGATGTCATGTGATCCTATTAATCATTAGACCATCTAACACTTTTCAGGGAGAAGGCAGATCAGCCTGTATTTTTTTGTAAGTGTTAGTGCTGGTGGGTTTGGGAATCAATTTGACACTAGCCTTTTTCCACTGAGTAAGAAAAAGGCCAGTGTTCAAACAGATATTGAAGAAAATTACAAATACTGTAGGATTGTCCTCAAGCGCGTGTTTTATCATCCTAGTGGTTATGCTGTCAAGACCTGGGGTTTTGTTATCAGTGAGCGAACAGATGGCATTCAAAACCTCGATGTAGGAGAAGTCATGGTCATTGTCTGTATTAGGTGGAGTGATTGTAGAACTCCGGATGGCCACTTGTGTATTGTCATACTGATGCGAGTCATCCGAAGGGTAAAGGCTGGTGAGGATGTGCGTGATAGTTTCTTCCATATTGTTTGTGTAGCGACCATCAGGGAGCTGGATAGTGGAGGGGGTTTTGGAGCTGGCGGTTTTCCTTACAAGCTAAGTAGTACAATTCAGACCTGGGGTTGCAAATGAAAGTATTGGTATAGAAATCCTTCCAAGTGTTAGTCCTTGTTTTATTTATAAGGGTTTTGTAAGTGTTGTGTTCATGCCTGTACCAGTCTCTAAGTGTGACTTTAATGTCCAGATCCTGTTCATTCCGAAATTACCTCCTTAATCTCCTAACAACTTTTTTCTGATTTTCTAGCTCAGTGGTCCACCAAGGAACCTTTTTGTGTTTACAATGTTTGAGCTCGGAGGCAATAACGTAAGAGTTAGTGATTGTATTTATAAGCCTGGTGACCAGATGGTCTAAGGTGTCCCAAGTATAGTGACAGTGGTGACGGGTACCAGTCCAATTGTTATTGAAGGTGTCATGGAATAATTGCCAGTTAGTGCAAATATAGTGAAAACTATGATCATTAGTATTACTAGTAGTGTTCAGTTGGGTGAAGATACACCTGTGGTCACTGGCAGAATCTATATCGGTAGTGTAACAGTGGTCGACCCTAGGAGTGACTGTTTCCTAATGTTAGGTCGATCCAACTTTCCCCCATGGTACAGGAGTAGGTTGGAAGAGTGCTGGTGTTCAAGTGAATAAGGTTGTGTTGGGCCATGGTTTCGTTAACTAAGTTACCCCTAAGGTCATCTTTTGGACTATGCCAGGTCATAGACTTGGCATTGAAATCTCCTCCTATTAGGACAGGTTTATCTTTGTATAAGTTCAGGAGGTGATGAATGTCTCCTATGGCCATCTCAATGTTAGTGGTGTCTGGAATGTAGACAGAACATATGTAAAGATGAGTGTTATTGTCTGTAACACAGATGGTGGCAATGTATTCTGTGATGTTAAATTAATATGCCTCAATGTCCTAATTTGTTACAATCTTATTTCGTCCACTAGTACGTATCTATTAACAGGACTTATTCAACTGGCTTTAAGGATACTGCAACTCAGTTTCACAGATTAGAAAATTGTTGTTTTGTTTAATTTGCCTGGACACATACATGTTAATATTGCGTTTTGGACTTGTTCGTTCCTCATCAGCAGGTATTTATATGATATATTCTACATAAAAATTAAAAATAAATAATTTTTTTTAATACAAAATTTAAATTTCCTGACAATTGTCGGTAAATTTTAAATTATTGTCAAGAAATTTTAAATTTTGTATAAAAAAAAAATTATCTATTTTTAATTTTTATGTAGAATATATCATATAAATACCTGCTGATGAGGAACGAACAAGTCCAAAACGCAATATTAACATGTATGTGTCCAGGCAAATTAAACAAAACAACAATTTTCTAATCTGTGAAACTGAGTTGCAGTATCCTTAAAGCCAGTTTAATAAGTCCTGTTAATAGATATGTACTAGTGGACGAAATAAGATTATATTCTGTGATGTGTTGGGAGACAAAGCAAGGGGTAATATTTTTGTTCATGATGATAATACCAGCCTTGATGCTGAGCTGGATACACTTTCCAGTCATTGAACCTGACTATCAAGTTGTTAATGTTTTCCTTTGGAAAAATGAGAACCGCATGTGTTCCAGCACTGGAGTGTGTGTGTTTTTAGACTGTTTTCTGGATAATTTTGGTGTTTGTTGTGTTAGCCACATTAAACACAACATTTAACACCTAAATGCTAATTCCAGCACTGAATGAACAAAAAATTTTAATGCTCAAATGTTTTCACCCGTCTTTTACAGGCCCTCCTCAGGAATGTATGAAACACACATTCAAATGATAGAACTGTTTTTTCTGTGTGTTTCATACATTCCTGAGGAGGACCTCTAAAAGACAGCCGAAAATGTTCAAGCATTAAAATTTTTTGTTCATTCAGTGCTGGAATTATCATTTAGGTGTTAATTGTTGTGTTTAGTATATAATTCCAGTTTACTTGTGCTAGTTTTTTGTCTGATTTAGCCACATTATTTATACAATAGAAAAACTATAAAGCCTAGTATATGAGGTCTATCTGAAAAAATCCAGCTATTGCTAATATAATGAGAATGGTTTGTATGACATCAACATAACCTGGCAGCTAAGGAGAATGGACTGATTGACAGTTCGAGAACTAGAAGCTGATCTGGGATTTCAATTTTTCTTCTATCTTCTTGTTTCTTTTTCAGTAAATATCTCTATTTTTCATATTACATGACTGGATAATTTCCAGACAGACCACATATACATTTACTATATCTTAAGTTATAAATTTAATAAAACTGCTTTGTGTACAGGGCTGTGGAGTCGTGTAAAAATCTACTGACTCCAACTCTGACTTTTCCAACTCAGTAAAGTGAGTCGATTCACTAACAAAACACAAACAGATACACACACCAAACTGAAACCTAACCAATGAGTGTAGCACATGACTCAGTGCAATACATTTTAAATATTTCAGTAGGGAAAGCTAGATCATCAGATTGAATGTTTCCAAAATATTTCTCTACATTAAAGATTCATGACTGACTTTACTTAATTTTATGGTAAAGTGCTTCAGTCATTCCAACTTCTCAGCTAATATTCTTAATCAACATTTTTCTTTTGCAAAGGGGAGCACACTGAAACTGAGTAATGGTTTGAAAAAGCAGAATATGAGAGTTGACTCACCAAAATACCAGTACAAATGCAGCTCTGAATGAGGCAGTTGAGATCTTATCAGAGTTGTAGAACAAGCCCAAGAGGTAAAAAAGTCAAAAGGAACGATCTACATGTAGTCCTTTTTTAACATTAGCCTCCAAAATCTTGACCAAACTGCTTATTAAACATGTGATAGACTTAAAGGAACATGCACTGTGGCTCCAACTGCACCCCATAAATAGTCGGTCTGTATAATGGCATTTCTCATATTTTGTGGGCTGTTAACCATCTCTACTAAAGTAGAAAACAGTTGATTTTTAGCATTGTTTTGAGAAAGTTAGTTCTCAATTTTTTTTTCACTTTTAAATTTTACTCATTTTTCAATCTTCAAAATTCCAGATAGGTTAATTTTGAGGGGGCTATATTTGCACAGGGTCATACGTAAACCATCAGTTACTTTGACTATTCCTACAAGCACGGTAACAAGGTCTCAACCACATCATTCAGAGCCACATTTATTGTTCGCAGGGGGGTGACGACCCCCTCATTTGGAGGGTAAATCTTACCCAAAATTTAGCATTATTTAAACTTCACCTACTATTAAAGATGCATTGATTAGTAAAAGTACGAAGAAAGACTAAAATGTCTTCACTCTTGCCATGTCCAATCACCGGAAACGACAATCTTCTACCGTAGAGACGACCTTTCTTTAGAGGCTACACATTCTATGTATTTTTAATAATGTGTAAAACTGTCAGCCAATTATAAATAAATGCATTGATTAATTATTATATTGCATGTTAAAATTTTAATTTGTGTAATTTCTCCAATAGATTAATATTACTCAAGACTGCAAAAAATAATTCTTATTTACTTGTTTTTATGTAAGAATAATATAAAATGGGAACATTCTATTTAAAGTATCAACTTTGATTTATAAATAGTTGTTTATTTAGAACATTTATAAACTTAAACCTATAAATAATTAAAGAATTGGACTTCATTTTTCATAATAATTTTTTAAAAAATAGGCAGAACATAAAAAATTTCACCTCAGAATAGCATTATTTCTGCTAGTCACAATTATTTCTTTATAACTCGTATATTATTATAATTTATTGAATGTAATGGATGATTAACCGTATAAAGTTCATTAAGTACGAAGAAAATAAATCATTCCATTTACCTTCTCCTAATAAAGCTGTAAAAACCGAAATTAATAAAATGAGAACGCTATCTCCCCACATTTTGCCAGACGTAACTTTACATAGCGCCACCTGACATTATTAAACTTTTGTAAGAAAAAGTCGAAAATAAAAAAAAATTTAGTGCAGAAATTTTAAAGATTAATCGTTAATTATTCATAATTATACATAATATAAAATAATTTATATAAAATTAAATATTTTTCGGAATTTTGATAGGTTAGGCGTTAAGTCCGTGCAAACGGTGTTTTTCCCAGGTGTAATAAAGTTAAGGCATGGACAGGTGGGAATCGTGAATTATATAGAACTTTAGTAAGTTTATTTTTCTCATTTTTATATTTTAATTATTATTAATTAGAGTTTGAATGAGCGTTTTATATTAACCAGAATCGTTTAAAATCTTTAAAAATAAATAAATAAATTTGTATATAATGTGATGCATGCATTCATCTTCCTTATCTTGAAAGTGAAATTGAACAATTTCTCATCACATGTTCAAATTTCATAATTTTTCTTAATAATGTGTGTCATATTATTTTACATGTAATTTTAAAACATTTTTCACATAAATCTGAAGCTAATTAAGTGTTTCTCTTTAATCAGATGGTTATTTTTATTTTTATATAAATTTTATAAAAGTATCATCCCACATACGAAGTCCTTTTGTAACAAGTTAAACTAGTTGAAAAAATAAAATAAAAAATTAAATTTCACCATAAATGTTCAACTGGAATTAAATATGTTGTATTCTCATTTTATTTGACTATATATATATATAATATTTTTAATATATTTAAAAAATTTTTTAAATCATTTTTGACTCTCATTGAATTACTGAACATCTTTTATGCAATATATTTGCATTCTAAGCAATATCTTAGAGTCAGAATTAACCAAAGAAAATAACACTAATGTGTAAAAGTAGGCTATTTAACTTTTTTAACTTCAAGAAATTCAAATGTGTAAATGTATAGATAAACAAATTATAAATAAAAGTCACAACAGTTTGTTTACAAATGTCTGTATGTCAACTTTTTGGCCACTTTTGGTACATCGACGGCTCCTTTATCAGAGATCTTTTATTTATTTTTACTTCGAAGTCTAATTATTAAGGAAATATACATAATTAATGTATTTATTTATTCTATTGTCTTGTTTTCTTAATTAAGTTATATATAGAATAACTTCGTAAATTCATTTAGTCTGAATATCACAATATTAATAATTGTTTAAAAAAAATTACTAGGCAATAATTGGATTTATTATTTAATTAATATTTGGTATTAATCTTTACGTTGGTACAGATTATTTATTTATAAGATTTTTAAACTTTTAATTATTATAATAATAAAAATGTTATATAAAAGTAGGTGATATATGTTGTTTAAATTTAAATATTGACATTTTTGTGATAACAGAAATCACAGATGACTTCTGATCTGATATATTTTTGATAATCTCTCTAGTAAATGATAATCTTTGATGGATGTTTAGAAATATGATATATTCTCTATAAAATGATACTTTTTATAATGTTATGATAATTATTGATTAAAAAGTACAGAAATATAGCAATTGACTGATATCTTACAACTTAATGAATTTGTTATTTATATATTAAAAATATCAGAAATTTCAATAACATTATCATTTTGTAAGCTACAAAGTTCACCATTTAAAATACGGAAGATTTATCATCAAAAGTTTATTGAAATTTATACAATGTAGATTGATATCTTAAGAATTTCATAAAGTTTTAAATGATTATGGAGTATACGGTGATTAAATATAGTCACAAAGTCAAATAAAGTTGCATATTTGAACCCTAATTTGACTTTGAGTCTTATTTTGTTGTGATTAATAAATTTTTGATGCTACAACTTGCACTTCATTCATTATCAAACGTTGTTCTATAATTTCAATATTATAAATGTCATTTTTAGTAATTCATTTAAAATAAATCTAATATATACAATTTGTAATAAAAATAGAATAATTCAGCAAGAAATAATGTTTTCTTAGATATGGGTAATTCCATGGAAAAGTGGACATTCTAGGGTGAAAATTTTTTTCACTAAATAATACTTTTTTTTGCTCCTATGATATTATCATATCTCTAAATGTAAAAAAATAATATTTTTGGCAACAGTTAGTCACATGATCAGGCGCCATCTTGGATNCAAAGACTCTGCACAGTACAGACCAATTAAATCTTCCAATACTTTACAAGATTCTTATCTCTTGTTTTGAAAACAAAGTATATGATCATATTGATGAACATGTTAGGAACTAATTAGTTTCAGAAAAATAATGGCATCTGAAATTTACAACAATCTACATCACTTTTTATTTTTTATCAAAAAATTAGCTATCTAATAATAATTAAATATTATTTTGCTAACTGTAATTATAGTACTGTATTTTGAATTGAAACTTTATAGAAAAGGAGAGTGAAGCTGCTAATATTTGTTAACTTTTAAAATTTTTTTAAAGAACACAAAACACAAAATTGAGAAAGTAAATACAGCATTGCATAGTAGATTTATTTGCTTCTTTATTTAAAATAAAACAACAAGTTTGAAAGACATGTTAGATAAAAAAAATATGAAGCAATTAACTACAGTTATTAAAACCTGCCTTGGTTTTGGGATAGGTTTTAACAATAGACAAAATAAAACTAAAATAGTATTATGATCGTTTGATAATCCAAAACCATGTTGTAAGTCTTCTTTGTTGCTTAAACACTATGTAGTGTAATAAATTTGAATGCTTGCATTCTTTCATCTTTATTTTAATTTAGTTGATATGCAATTGTTGTCATAAAGGTTATTGGTAATTCCATCTCCTATGTTTATATTCCTTTGTACTACCTATAGACGTTACTTCATTAAAGGCAGACAGAAGGAATGAATAAATTGGGAAGGATGACAATGGTAGAACTCTGTAGTAACAAAGCTTGTACATCAAGAAAAAACTTTACACTTATCACAACTGTAACAATAATGATGAGATTCATGATTAATTGACCTGAACTAAAATGATCATAATACTTTATTGCTTAATTAAACACTATGTAGTGTAATAAATTCGATCACTTGGCATTCTTTCATCTTTATTTTAATTTAGTTGATATGCATTTTAGATTACACGTTTCGGGTCTAACATGCCCCACCTCAGCCAACTAAAAAATGACAAAAATACATACAATACATAAAAAAGTAAAATACATATAAATGGTTAAGATATTTTTTAGACATACCTCGGGATTTTTGCAAACTGGGTTCTATTAGGTGAGTACATAATATATATACAGCTTACACATTTACTATTGTATATCTATTTATACAAATATCATAAATTTGATATTAATCACTACAATACATATATCTATGCCATCAATGTACCTTCTTTTTTCTTCTTTTTTGGCAAATACAATTAAAGGGTAAGTATACTGCCAGTGCAGAACTTTACGTTCATCTATTTCATATTAAAAAAATACTTAATTTCTTTACCTACATGTCTCTGTATTATCTATATGAATATATTAATAAATAATATACCTGTTTTTTATTATTTTGAAACTTATGTTGTTAGCATCCTTTCTTATCTTTGTCCAAGAAGCAATATGGTGTTGAATTAAATTCTACCATTTTTTACGTTTTTTTAAAAAAGAAAAGAAAAGAAAAGAAATTCACTAGAAATTATCTTGTAATTTCTTTACCTACATGTCTCTGTATTATCTATATGAATATATTAATAAATAATATACCTGTTTTTTATTATTTTGAAACTTATGTTGTTAGC